CGGCCGCGGGAGCGCCCGCCTTCCGCTCTGAGGCTCCCCCGGCGCCCACGGGGGTGGCTGCTCCGCGCTGCCTGCTCGTCACTTTTGGTGTTAGGTGACCCACTAGCAGACCCATCGGTCAGGGACCCGGAGCTTCCGCAAAGCTGCGTCGGTCTGCGAGGCTGCTCCGACTGCGGGGCTTCGGCTGTAAGGCTGCGGCGCTGGGTGTCCCGGGGCTTTGGGGTGGCGGTGGAGGGGCGCAGGCCATCTCCCGGGGGCTGGCGATCGGAGCGCGATAAAGTGGGAAAAGTCTAGCGTGGTGTTTAAAGCCCAGTTACTGCCTCTGTGACCTTGAGCAAGTTACTTAACTTCTCGGAGCCTCAGTTTCCTCAGAAGTAAAACAGGTATTATAATCATTACAATGAGCTCAAATTGTACGGCTTTACAAGGCTCAGAGGCCGGCTGCTTGCTGCCCTCCGCCCCCATTAACGTAGCATATCCAGGCGGGCTGAGATCCCCACCCCTTGATATCCCGGGGCTTACAGCCTGGTGGGTGGCGCTGTGTCCGGGCTCGGTGGAGCTTCTTTGTCCGTGACGGCTCCTGCTTTAGGCCCCTGAGGTTCAGAGGTGCCCGTGTGCGGGTCCAGCAGACAGAAGGTGTAATCAGCCGGCTGTCATTGTTACCAGCTCTGTAAGAACTGTTTTCTCTGGGTTGGGTTTTGGTCACTCGAAAATACTGGAGCCTTATGCAGCGTGGGAGCTGCCTGGGTCCCGTGAAGACTGGGTTTTAGTTTCTAGCATAGCTAGACCCAGGGCCTCATGAAGTTCCAGGGTGAGTTCACGTCTCCCTCTTAGGATTGAATGGTAACTGGCACGTCCTATTCCCTTGTTCAGGCTTATCTGCTCTTAGGGGAGGGAGGATGGGGACAGGGGAGGGAGGAAGGGAGGGAGGGAGAGCGGTCTATCCGTCTTCCGTTTCCTCCATCCTTACAGCGCATCCTATGAGCACACAGGACCGAAGACAGGGCCAAGCCACCTCAGCAGACAGGGAGTGCGCATACTACCCAGGTGTCGCCCGCACCTTCGAGGTTAGTCAGCCACTGTAAGGTCTCACCCCAGCTGCAGGGGGTTGGGGATGGGGTACAGTTCCCAGTGAGAAGTCTGAGTTCTGGGCAGACAGAAACAGGACATGTCCGTGGCACGGTCTCTGCCTTTGTTCCGCAACACCTAAGGGAAATACGGGGTACAGCGTGGGGTGCCTTGGTCTAGATGCGGTCTTCACCCAAGGCGCAGGAGGCATCCTGTGTGCTCGTCTTTTCATTCACCGTTTTGTTCGTTCATTCATTCATTTCACATTTAGTAAATGCCCAGCATGTGCCAGGCTCTCTGCTGAGGGTGAAAATGCTTGCTTTTGAGAAGCTCGCAGTCTAGCTGGAAGAACGAATGCGCAGATCGAAGTGTGTGGGGCTGATAATCTGTGTGGGGACAGTGAGTTTTCCTAGGGAAACCGCAGCTGGGCTCTAAGTGGGGAGGAGCAGGGATGATGTAGGAGAGGGCGAGGGCCTTCCCTGGCCGCGTGGTAGGGTGCCAGCAAGGGAATTTTCTGGTGTAAGTGACACTGTGTGGGTTACTTTACTGTCTCACTTACGGTACTGGGGGTGGGTGGTTCAAAGGAGTCACAGTTCTTGGTTGGGTTCTAGAAAATTCTCTTGATTTCTCTGCCCCGCACGAGGTGACTAGAGGTTTCTATTGCCTTGATGTAACAGCATCAAAAAGCAAAAAGGGAAGGACAGGACCTTGCTTCTCATTCTTACGGATGGGCGAAGGCTGATTTCCTTGGAAGTTTCCTGTGTTGGCCCGCGTCGTTAGCCAGCATGGTCACAAGCCCACCCTGAGCAAGTTGCTGACGAAGGAGAGAGGGTGGCGTTGATTGCTTAGCCCAAGCCATCTTCTGGAGCTGCAGAGGGGCTCACTTCCAGACCATGAGCGCAGTCGGAACTCTGTGAGCAAGGAAGAAAGGGAAATGACCTGGCGGACTGTGAGGCGGGCGGCCAGCCGTGTCTCCCACAGGGGTGACGGGTGACAAAAGGCACAGCATATATGAGAAAATCTGGGAAGTGCGGTAAAACAGGAAAAGTCCAGGGTGTGGCTGAGGGCAAAGCAAGCTCAGACTGAAGCAACAGATAGAGGCCGGAGTTCTCCAACGTGGATCCCACCGTGGGGCTTACTAAGAAGTGCAAACCTTGGTCCCATTCGTGGAGGAGCTCCCACTGGAAACCGGAAAAGGTTTTCTAAGTTTTCCACGCTCCCCGACGCACGGCAGCAGAGGCTCACCGTGGCGGTCATTCTCGAAGGGTGGGTTCAGGTGGTCTCCGGAGGGCCATGTGTAGTTATGGTGGTTCTGCTGGGCCTTTCACTGCCCACCCTTCCCCAGAGCCTCCCCTAGGCTCCTTCCTGAAAACATTCCTTCATCTAAAATCACGGCTTTGTTTCTTACCTGTCTTCTAACTAACAGGCTGGGACTTGGTGAAGGTGCAGTCCGCAGTAGATCCTGGACTGGAAAACAGTTTTCCTGATGCTGAGTTCAGTGAATGACTGCTTGAGGTCGCGTTTAGTAGGAAGCTGGCCTTTGCTTAGGTTAGTGGGAAATGCGTGGATGGAAAGCTATTTCATTGGCCCGTTTACATGTGAAGCCTGAGGTGAGCCCTGGCTGCTCTTTGCGTCCACTGGACAGGGCGGCCGTGGTGGACATTTGATGTTCAGCTGACCATCCAGGAATACCACTTCTCATCACCCTACCTCCCCGATATCTAGTGAGCGTAGAAATTGGCTAAAAGACCTGCTCACTGCTTCTGGAAGGAAGAAGGGGAGGAGGGCAGCATATTGTGCTGATTTCATCGGCGGCACTGCCGTGGGCTGGCAAGGGCCCCTGGAGGAATGTGAAGAAATGAGGTAGAGCCATAAGCCGTGGACTGCCAACCATTCATTCCACAGATGTTTGCTGAGCACCTGCGTGTGACGGACACTGTCTTAGGTGCTGGGGATACCTGGAGAGTACTTCAGAATGACAAAGTTTCTGTTCTCGTGGGGCTTACAAGTCATCAAAGGAAGAAATACTTCTGTATGTGTTGTCTAGTATTTCAGGCAGTGAGAAGTAGTGTAATGAAAAAATCAGATGGGTTAAGAGCGGAGTTGTAGGAAATAAACTGAATATAGTGCTGGAACGCTCTATTTTGTACCCACAGGGAAATATGGTCTGAGGAGGTACAGTTTTGGAAAAAAAAAAAGACAGATATTCACTTGGAAGATGTGGGTTAAGTATTGAATAACTTGATCTGATAGGATTTCTTCCATGTAGCTTTTTAATATTGTACATTGTTCCTACAATGACTTTTAAAAACATGGTATTAGGTGCTGAGACATAAGTGAAGACATACGAGCAAAGGGAACTATGAGGTAATTTTTTCCATTATTTTGTCCAGGATTGTTTGGTTTGAGTAGTAGAACAGGAAGTGTATGTGGTCATTCATGCTCAGGGTTCGTTATTTAAAAGGTGAGAAAATAAATTATGGTCTTAGAAAATTGTAACTTTTTTTTTTTGGTGTTTGAAAAATTAGTCTTATTTAGTAGAAAAAGAGAACTCTTTACCAAGGATGTATGTGAAATTTATCTCCTAGGTGAGAAAAAGAAAAATAAGGTTTTGGCTGATGTAGAATACATCAAATGCTAACAGACAGAAAATCTAATTTCAGGGTCAAATGCTATAGTACAAATGAAAATTAATGAGAAGTTATGTTTGGATCCATAACTGACTTGAAGCAATATATAAATTCAATAAAAAATTACAATATAGTAATGCTATACAAAGTAATTTTGATTAGCTATTTTTATTGAGTTTGTTTCTTTGTTAGTTTGTAAAGGTTCTTTATAGGTTAAAGCATGATTTAATGACAATTGCTCACAGTCTCTGCCTTATTTTTTTATTCCTTTAACAATGTCAGTTCTCAGAGAAAACTATTTTTTTTAATGGACCAAGATTTTGTTTTTGTATTTAATAATTCTTTGCCCAACCAAAAATCTTTAAAAATTTCCATATTCTCTTCTAGAAGTTTTATATTTTATATTTATCTTTAGGCCTATAATCAATTTTGAGCTAATTTTTGTATTAGGTGTAAAGAATGGGTGAAGGATTTGGGGGTCGGCAATGAAGGGACAAGGGGTAACACCAGTTGTTGAAACACTGCCATTTCTCCACTGAATTGTCTTGATGCTTTTGTCACAAACCAGATACCATAAATGTAAGGGTTCATTTAGTCTGGAACCCTTGATTCTATTGCACTGATTTATCAGCTTACTCAGTGTCGATACTACACTGAGTAGACACTGTCTTTAATAAGTTTTGAAAGCAAGTAATGTAAGTTATTCAATGTTATTCTTTTCCAAAATTGTTCTGACTCTTCTAATTGTTTAACTTTTCCACATGAATTGTGAAATCAGCTTCCAGTATCTACAAAAAGTTCTACTGAGGTGGAGCAAGTAGAAAGCAGCTCGCAAGACAGTAGGTTTTTTTAAAAGACAATAGATTTTAGTTGAGCCATATCAATATCACAGTAGATCTGAATGATTCAGTGCTAATTAAAAGATATTTTTAGATTGGTTAAAAGGAGTCAACTGTATGCTGTCTAGAAGAAACCCATCAAAATATATATACATACACAGGCTGAAAAAATAGAAGGAAGAAGTACAATGCAATCACTAACCAAAAGAAAACCAGAATAGCTACTTTTACATCTAACGTTAACTCCAGAGCAAGGAATAAAGAGAAATATTACATAATAAGCAAAGGATCAGTTCTCCAAGAAGACATTAATAGTCTTAAATGTGGATGGACTTATTAGCAGGATATATATATATATATATATATATTCAAACTATATGAAGCAAAAAATGATAGGAGAAATTTAAAAATCTACATTTATGGATGGGAACGCTAACATTTATATGCCCATAAATTTGACAACCAATTCCTTGAAAAATACAAAGTACCAAAACTCAACAAGAAACAGGTTGCCTAACTAGTCCCATATTAATTAAAGAAATAAAGTTTGTAGTTAAAAATCTTTCAGTAAGAAAACTCTACGCCCACCAGATAGTTTTACCACTACCCTTTCTTTTCAATGTGCTCCTTTACAAATTATTTTTAAATTTGGTGCCTCATGGCTTTAATGTCTGTGTCGTATCTGAGTCTGGTTCTGTTTATTGCTGTATCTTACAGCTTGCTTTCTATGCACTTGGTAGCTTTTTCTTTGAGAACTAGACATTTTGGCAGGACATTAGAGACTGAGATAGTTTTTATGTGTGGAAACAGGCATGCCTTTCTAGTTCTACTATGCATTTAGTGTGACAATAGATCAGTCTAGTCAAGTGTTGAATGAGATTTGAGATTTGCTCTTGCTACAATTACCTCAGTGCACCCCAGACTTCAAGTTCTTCTAGGGATGCCTTGTGTTTGGGTTCAGATGAGTTTGCTAAAAGACTTCTGTCATTTTCCACTCCACTGTCAACCTTAGGTCTTCATTCTGCCCGGCGCTGCAGAGTGGTCTATGTCCATGTGCTTTCAGCTCTCCCTCTGGTATTCCACTGTTATTTCTTACGTGATGCTTGTTTGCCAGTGGAGATGCATCTGCCCCTGGTGAACAGTTGGTCATGTCTTGCCTTTTCCTGAAGGTACTATTTCTCCTTAGAGTTTAGCTTAATGTGGTCTTCTGCAACCCTAGTTTAATGGATCTGAAAAAGTTATGAATTTGCAGTTTGTAGCCTTTTGTTTGAAGTAAGCATGGGAGTTGTCTCAGTTGCTTTTCTCATTGCTGAGATGAAATACCTGACACAAGTTAAAGGAGGAGAGGTTCATTTCAGCTCACAGTCTGTAAAGGTTGCAATCCACAGCTGGTTGGCTCCAAGGCAGAGTGGCACGGCAGAGGGGGATCACAGGGGAGAAACAGTCCATGGCAGAGCAGGCAGGAAGCAGCAAAGCAGCAAACAGCAGCAACAGGCAAAGCAGCGGGCCTCCCTTTCCCTTTTATGCATT